GTCACGTGTTAGAGCTAGTGCAGACCTGAAAGATCCGCGATACACGTCCCGGGATCGTGCGGTCGTGTACAATTGCAGACAGTGATTGCCGCGCAGCCCCATTGATTTCAATGAGGTACATCCACGCGGCAATCGCAGAAAAAAAGTGTACATGTACCTTTTTTTTTGCAATACACGCCGCACGGGTTAAATCGTCTCTTTAGATTTAAGACCTGGATAATGATATGACTGCCTACCTCCTGGAGAGTGTTCTTCACTTGGCTGGATGTTGTGAAAGGTTCCTACAATCCTCCACCACTGTTTTCCGTGGACTACTAGGCCTTTTTGTGTTGAAGAGCTCACCAGTGTGTTCTTTTTTTCAGAATTTACAAAACTGTTGATTTGGCTACTCCTAATGTTTCCGATATCTCCCAGATGAGCTTTTTTTTTTCAGCCTAGGATGGCCTGTTTCACTTGCATTGAGAGCTCCTCTGAACACATGTTGTGGGTTCACAGCAACAGCTTCCACGTGCAAATGCCACACCTGCAATCAACTCCAGACCTTTCACCTGCTTAATGGATGATGAATACTGAAGGAATAGCCCACACCTGTCCATGAAACAGCTTTTGAGTCAATTGTCAAAATTACATGAGGAAAGAGGTTCGGCAGAAGAAAAGTGTCGATGAACGAAGGCCGAATGAAGTCACCAGAGAATCCACTTTAATAGCTAGAGGACCCCTTTACCTGGCGACAAACTTGCTTATTTTGGTGTTAAATATGCAGGCCAGGAGGTCCAAGTCCATTTTTCCCCACCCACGGAAGAGGCCCTGAAACACCTCTGGGGAAGGGACCATCCCCTTGAGTCCAAATGGTGTCAATTGAGAAAGCCTGCCTGGCAATTTCCCTCACCAGGAATGTGTATGGCAGATAAAGCTGGACTGTAAAGTTCCACCCAAGTCAGAATAAGGGTGGGCTGTGAGACTTCTGGTTCCTCTCTGATCGTTGAGGTATACCAAAGGTGTGGTATCTGACAATCTGGATTGGATGATCTTCCAGTTGAGAGTACCAGCATTAAGGACCACTCAATTGCTTGCAGCTCCAGTATCTTTTGTTGCTGCTTGCCCTGCTCCCTAGTTACATAGTATTTGAGGTTGAATAAAGACATTAGTCCATCAAGTCCAACCTATTAGGATCTCATTCTAGGAGTACCTGTACCCCTGTATATTACGGTCCCTTAAGAAATTGTCCAAAAGTTTCTTGAACAATTCCTTCCCTCCCAGGAATGCTGCACCTTTCCCATTAAGATGCAGCCCGTCTCGGCTGAAGAGCCGATTGCCGACTGCGAAGTCAGCCCAGTTCTCCAGGAAACCAAAACCTTCCTTCAGACACCAGCTCCGGAGCCACTTGTTAAGCTCCCTCAACTCGCGCTGTCTGTCCGGAGTGGCTCTTGGCACCGGCAGTATCTCTGAGAAAACTACCGTGGAGGTCCTTTCCTTCATCCTGGTCTCTAAACTCCCTTTTTAGGACACTCCAGTTTCCTCCTATTTTGTCATTGGTGCCGATGTGCACCATGACAGCGGGGTCGTGCCAGCTTGATTGGGAAATTTAGTTTTCTCCGGTGACCAAGTCCCCTGCACTGACAGGGTATCCAGGACTCCTCCGAAGCCTGTCAGACTGGCACCCATTTTGAGAATCTTTCAGACCAATGGATGGATGGGATTTCCCCCAACTGCAGGACTGCATTTGTTAGTTGCAACAGTCTGGAGTGGAATTGGGCATATGGAACTGACTCGAAAAAGGCTATCATCAAACCCAGAACGCTCATGCAAAAGCAGAGAATTGGACAGTTCCTGGATTGCAGAGTCTAAACTTCGGAGTGCAGTGTCAGGAGTTATTCCTTTGGAAGAAAAACCATGGACTGAGCAATATCTAAGAGGAGACCTACTGTAGATGTATGCAATAATTTGGTTCCAGCACTGAGTTCTGAAGGTTTAGTATCCAACCAAGCCTTTTTACAGTCTACAATGTCTATGCAGTTTTTTTTTGGACATTGACAGAGTGGACTGTTCTCTTAAACAGGAGGACCTCCAAATACCAAACAATGGGATTGCCCTGTAAACACAGCAAAGCAAGCACAAAGGCCAGCATCTTGGTGATTACTTGAACTGCAGTGGACATACCAAAAGGAAGGACAATAATCTGGTAGTGCCATGTGTCTACAGCAAAACACAAATTTAATAAGCTGGAAAGATGAGGACATGCAAGTAGGTATCCTTGATGTCCACAAAGGCCAGAAAATCTCCCAGATGGAGGAAAGCAATGATTGACCTGGGGAAGCCCATATGACATGAGTGACTTTAGATCCAGAAAGGGGTGTTAACCTCCTTTCTATTCGGGGGACAGTGAACAGGTTTGAGTAGAAACCTTGAACATTTTCTTTTGTGGAATGGCAATAACTTCTTGAGAAAGGAGTAGTGCAAAAGCAACATAGAAGTCCGTTAGGCTTTGTGGAGAGTTTGGCAGGTTTGATAACATGAAGCGGGTTGGAGGTAGAGGTTAAGCTGGTAGCCCCTGGATACCACATCCTTTACCCACGTATCCAAAAAGATTTTGGTCTAGGTGGTTGCAAAGGCTAACAGATGTCCCTTCTTTGTGAAGATTGTATATTCCGTCTCCTAAAAACTCACAATACTGTATCCATGTTCATGGGTGTACAAATATCCAAAGTTGTGACTATGACCCCCAATTCCAAAAGGATTTCCCAAAGACAGGTACTTTCTAATTAAATTAGGCACATTTACTAATTAAATGTTAAATACCAAAGATCAGATGTACTTTTTCTACCTGTCTGGGGCAGAACCCCTCTGTTGTGAATGATGCAACAGTAGCTTAAGGGAATTTCCCTGCCTCTGCTTAACAGCTGCTAAGATCAGCCACACAGGGAGTGCATTGTTTGAGGAACAAGCCAACTTAAAAAGGTAGTAGTAGTAAAACACAACACTGTATGGTAATGTGTAGTAGGAAACTGTATTGAGTAAATATGACTAGCCTCATGTACATATTGTATATCAGGTCTTTCTTGATCAGGATTAGAACACTAGGGTTCCTCCTGAGGTTGCTAGGGGTTTTCTGGGCAGAGAGCTGAGGTGAACTAAACCCCAATCTGCAATGACCAGCAATGGCAGGAAATATTTCACTTAGTACCAAAGTAACGGTTCATTTGTACACTGACCACTAATTCTTTTAATATTCGTATTTCTCATCATACCATTATTCATTTCATTTAAAGTTGACTGAAATAAATTTGTTTTATACAGTAGCCGGTGATATACAAAATGTGCCCTGGGTGTCAAATAATCTTGGTACACCTTGTTCTTTAATCTTCTAATTAAAACCTTCTACAACCAATCATGCTAATATACCGTGAGCTATGGTTTTAATTTTTAGCAGTGGTTCCCTAAAACCTATCTTAGGGGTTTCTCCATGACAAAGATTGAGAAAGGCTGCTGTGTAGAATTCTAAACTATACACACGTTTTTAAAAGCATTAAAAAACACATTGATGGGATTATTTACACCATGCTTTTGTATTTTACATTCCCAGTACAATCCCTTAAATACTGAGATTTGCGTGTCGATTAATAGCTGAAAGCAAATTTGCAATACACGTAAGACAAGGAACAGCAGAAAGATATTTTAGGAGCATTACACAAGGAAGAGAGCACAGTGTGGCAATCTCCAATGTGTGCGCTTATGTTAACGGACATTCCAAAGAGCTGGAAGAGGACAGGGCAGTAATATAATGTAAAGAACTGCAGGCTGTT